CGAGGAGTTTACTTACTGAGTACGACGACTTGACCTCCTGAGTACGATAAGTAAAATGCTGAGTACGATAAGTTAACACCCGAGTACGATGACTTTACCCCCGAATACGATGAAATACCCCTACAGTAGGATGACTAAGCCCCTTGAGTATGATTACTTCCTGAGTACGACGACTAACCCCTTAAATATGATAACTTCCTGAGTACGATAACCTAACCCCTTGAGTATGATAACTTCCTGAGTACGATAACCTAACCCCTTAAATATGATAACTTCCTGAGTACGACGATTAACCCCCTTGAGTATGATAACTTAATCTTTCATCTCTAAATTAATTATATATTTTCTACTTCACAATCACCTTAATTAATCAACCTTACCGTCTTACATAATCAAAGTCTAATAAACATCCTAACTCATTTAATTATAATTATTTACTTAAAATATATCTACCTTCATCTACCTTCATAATTAATCCATCATTTCCCCCCTACTTATCCACCCATCCACCCACCCATCCACCCACCCACCAATAAGCTTATCCAATCACATTCATCCATCCACTTATTTACCCACCCAACCATCCACTCACTTACCCACCGTTCCAACATACCCATTTATCCACCTACCCATCTACTACCCACTCAGTGATAGGTTAGAGAATGAGGGGGGGGGGAGAGGGAGAAGGAGGAGAGAGAAGGATGGAAGAGGAAGAGCAGGAGGAAAAGAAGAGGAATAGAATAACAATGTGGAGAAAAGGAAGGGGTGAGAGAGGATGAGATAAACGACATAAGTAAACGAAGGAGAACAATAAAACTGTGAGAGGCCAGAAGTGAAGAGAAGGAGGAGAACAATGAGGAGGAGAGACAGAGAAAGAGAGAGAGAAAGGGGCAGGAAGGAGGAGGAGAAGAAGGGGGGGTCCATGCATTATTAAGGAGGCCGCGTGGCAGCAAGTAGCCCTCTGCCCCCCACCCCCTCCCCGCACGGCCAAGAGGGAGATGATGATGCCCACGTCCACCAGAGGGGAGATGATGATGACGCCCACGTCCACCAGAGGGGGAGATGATGACGCCCAATTCCACCAGAGGGGAGAAATGATGACGCCCACGTCCACCAGAGGGGGAGATGATGACGCCCACGCCCACCAGGAGGAGAGATGAGGATGCCCAGTTCCACAAGAGGGGAGAAATGATGACGCCCACGTCCTGCCACCCCAGAGGGTGAAGTGATGACGCCCACGTCTGAGATGATGACGCCCAATTCCACAAGAGGGGAGAAATGATGACGCCCACGTCCACCAGAGGGGAGATGATGACGCCCACGTCCACCAGAGGGGGAGAAATGATGACGCCCACGTCCACCAGAGGGGAGATGATGATGACGCCCACGTCCACCAGAGGGGAGATGATGACGCCCAATTCCACAAGAGGGGAAATGATGAATAAACAGAAGGGAGAGGAAGAGGAAAGAGGAGGGGGAAAGAGAGGAGGACTAACGGAGGGGAAAGTAAATAAGTGGAAAAGGCGAGGAGAAAGAGAGGAAAAACGAGAGAATATGGACGAATAAGGCAAAAGAAAGAGGAGGAAACAAGTATAAGAAATCGAAAGAGAGAGAGAGAGAGAGAGAGAGAGAGAGAGAGAGAGAGAGAGAGAGAGAGAGAGGACGCAGAAGAGAGGGAGGGAGGAGGGAGACTTGAGAACACGACATGACAACGGAACAGAGAAGTGACAGAAAACGATGATAAACACAGAATTAAGATAGATGAGAGGAGACAGAAAACGGTGATAAACGTATTGGGAATTGAAACAGGCGAAGGGGGTAGGGAAGTACACAGTGATAAAGAGGGAGAATAAGGATAGACAGAAAACATTTATAAACGTAAGAAATCGATATAAAAGAAGTGAAGAAGTGTATGGTGATAAAAGTGATAATTGAAACAGACGATAATAGATATAAAAAAACAAAAGGTCAGATACGATAATAAACAGACAATAAATGATACGAAGGAAGGGGACAATAATGATAGTAATAAGAAGAGAATATAAGAGAAAAAAATTAAGAAATGTAAGTATAATAAAGATAGGGAACAAGCAAAAGAAAGAGAGAGAGAGAGAGAGAGAGAGAGAGAGAGTATACGAGTGTTTTCATCTTAATGTAAAAACAATTAGGGTTAAGTTTAGCTCAGAGTCGAATTTGGTGTTTATGAATCTAATTTACTATTGGATTTTTTTTAATTGAGACCTCTTGTTTTTCTCCTTCTCATTCGCTTTCTCCTCTTCCTCCTTTCTTCTACTCCTTCGCTTTCTCCTCCCTCCTTCTCCTTCGCTTTCTCCTCCTCCCTCCTTCTACTTCTTCTCCTTCTCGTCTTCTAATCTCTTCCTGTTCCTCCCTATGTGCTGTTAAATTATCTCTACTATTTCCGTCTTCCTTCTTTTCTTGTCCTTCCATAATCATCACCCAGCATTCTCTCCTTCTCCACCTAAACAGCTTGACTTAAAGCTTAAAGTGTTCACCTTCATTACTTTGGTCCAACATTCTGAAGCAACTTTTCAATACTTTTAAAGTCAATCATTATAATAAAAGTTGAACGAAAGATTTAAAAACATTACCACATATCATCGCTCGGTCTCCTCTTTGTCTTAAATGTACATATGAAGCAACACAAGCCGATACAAAACAACATCTCGCTGCGTAATGTAAAAAAAAATTAATTACTCATCTCTCTAAACGTTTTGTGTCTCCGAGAAAAGACCAGACAAACATTGGGCAGATCAAGATGTCATTATTTCTGCTCGCCTCCCGGTAAAACAAAGTGAAGATTTTCTGAACTGCGATTGGGATAGTTTGTGCAGTTGAGGAGTTATTTTATTCCTCTTCTCTTTACTTCAATATAGATGTGATTTAGGAGTCTGACCGTGAAAAAACCCACAAACCCACAGAGGAGTACAATCACCGTCCAGAACAAACTCCAGTACAATTATCTTTCACCACAAACTCCAAAAGAAGTAAATATTAGTTGAAATATTTTTGTTTTTAAGTGACTACTAACAGAGGTGGGAGGTCAAAACAGTCGCAAAATCATGGTTCTTCGTCCGTCATGCCTTTAAAGTTTACCCAATTTTGGCAGGACACGACACAGAGACCGCGCATGATAGCACCTTACTAATATGTGTAGATAGATTTAGTGGCCGTGATGATTATTAATGCTGGCACAGGTAAGGAGTCAGGTATAATGGAGAGGGGGGACACACTGCATTGACTGGTGTTATTATTATTATTATTATTATTATTATTATTATTATTATTATTATTATTATTATTATTATTACTTTTATTATTTTTATTATTATTACTTTTTTTTTTTTATTATTGTTATTATTATTATTATCATCATCCTTATCCTACTACTACTACTACTACTACTACTACTAGCATACGTCTTATTAATATTATTACTATTATGTTCATTATTATTATTGTCATTATTATTCCCATTATTACTACTAACAATACACCTCCTACTGCTAATAATTTCCCTTTCATTATAATCATCATCTTGCCTACACAAGCATCATTATTCTTACTCTAAATACTATACTACTGCCAACTAACTGTATTATTTCAAGGATGAGGTGTTACTTCCCCCACTCATTCTGATCGGCTACCTGAGTACAACCATTAAGCTGTATTTTGTGTCCTGATTACATGACAAAAATACAGGTGATCTGATTACATAAAAGGAGACAGACAGAGAAGCGAAAAGGAGGATGTGGTTACAGAATTGACGTAGGAGGAGAAGGAGGAGGAAGAGGAAGAAGAGGTGGAGGAGGAGGATAGGTTAATTAGGCAGAGATTGAATGAGTTGAAATTTACTTAGATGAGGCAATGGAAGGATAAGGAAGAAAGAAAGAAAACAGATATTTAGCGGTGTGAGAGAGAGAGAGAGAGAGAGAGAGAGAGAGAGAGAGAGAGAGAGAGAGAGCAGGTGGAGCCCCCAAGGGATGAAAGAAGGGAGGGTATAGGGGTGAGGTAGGGGTGGCCAGCACTACACAGGGGTTCGTCTCCATCATTGACAAGGGCTTCACGTTGTGTGCCGAGGCAATGGACCTTTATGGACGACAGTTTTCCCTCATTAACCCCTCAGAGGCGAGAGGGGATCAGAGGGGAGATCTAATGACCAAGCTAACGGGGAGTCGAGTCATTGGTTAACTCCCCTTTTCTTCCCTCCTCCTCCTCCATGCCCCCCTCTCCTCCTCCTCTCTACCGTATGTGTCCGGGAGTGACGTGTGTCCACAATTGAGTGACATGTGTCCAATGTGTCCAGAAGCGACCGACGTGTCCTCAACGCCATTATCAGGAACCGTGTCAGGCAACCTTCTTCTATGGACGCAGGTGGTGTAGGAGTGAGGGAGGGAGGGAGGAGATAGAAGTAGGGGGAGGGAGGGAGGGAGGGAGGAAGGGAGAGAAAATTGACAAAATCTGAGGAGGGGAGGGCCAAGGTGTGGTGCTGACCGGTAATATCATCAACTTCAGAGCTACGCCTTCGACTTCTACACTAATTGGGTGACCTCTTGTAGGATTGATTTAGTTCTAATATAATTATTTGGGAGGAGGGGGAGGGAAAGGAGGTGTATATGATGGTAAGAAAACGATGGAGAGGAAGAAGAGAGTGAAAGAGAAATGAAAAGAGAAAGCGAAAGAGTGTGTGTCGTGGAGGGAGGGCTGAGGAGGTGGTGTGAAGGTCTGGTTGTGAGAGACACACACTGGATATTGTTGTTATTTAAGGATAGGAATGGATGGAGGTAAGGTTAAGTATGTATAGATGTAAGGATAGGATATACATAGGGGTAAGGATAGGTATATATGGAGGAAAGTATTTAATTACGCCGTAAGGAACACGCAAACCATCCTGACAGGTAAATGGGGTCAATGAGTAGTACTAATGATAATAGGTAATTAGTTCTGAAGGAGAGGTATTAACGTGTGTTGTTCTTCCACAGGCGACAGGAGGCAGAGGACCGCGAAGCTGACCGCCATGCCACTAACCGCCTCATGCTGGGTATGTCATCAGAAGGTTCGGCGAAGCCCCTCTACCCCGGCCCACAGGACTCCTCCCTCACGCCCTTGCCTTCAGTCCAGATGCAGAACTCCAGCCCCTCCCTCCCTGCCGTGTGATGGGCCTCGGGAGCTCTGGCCAACACCTGGTAAACGATCTATTGACTGCCGTAGAAAGTCAACTCCTGAAGTCTCGGTAACCAAGCCATCGACTTTCGGCAGTTTTGTTTCTCTTCATCTCCCATTCCTTTTCCTCCCCAACTTGCCTCAGCTCATAAAGGGAGAGGAGAAAGGAGAAGGGGAGGGAGGGGAGAAGGTGAAGATGAGAGAAGAGGCTTATATAGTGAGATAAGCTCCACGTGGGTCCCCCTGTACAAGAGGACGCCTGGGAAGGAGCAGGGTTGAATATAATGGTAAAGTAAGTTTCTTCTCTCTTCACCAGGAGGGCAAGAGACAAGTCCTCACGTCGATGGAGACTCAGGTCAAGAAGCTTAAGAGGAATAAAGGAAGTTAGACGGAAGTGAATGTAACCAAAAAAAAAAAAGACAAAATTCACTATAAACAAACAAGTGACTGGATTAGTTACTCCAGCCTCGAGTGTATGTAATAGAATATGAACAGACAGTTACCAGTATTGAAGAAAAGTGACAATCGTTAATGGAGTTAATAATGTATTTCCTGGGTTTTTGAACGTGCTATTAGTCTCTAGTGAAGTGAATAAATGCATAAACAATCAATGAAAACCAAGGGAAACTAGGTACGGGAAGTGAAAGAAATGAATGGATTTTTCAAGATATCAGTGAAGGAAGTCAACACGAGCCATAAACCTTCGACATAGTTCTTCACTCTCTTCATCTTGGTCTGTGTTCGGTCTTTTCATAGTTGTTGTTGACATTTTTATTTTGTTTTTCTGTGTAAAACTTTGGCGTGTGTGGCTCCGATAAACACCCATCACAGAAGTTAAGAGGGAAAAGAAATATGACAACAATGTATTATGGTGTATGAGAGTGATAATTACATAGACAGTACTGTACTTTGCTGTAGCCCATGGTTTAGAATATTTTGATGTTTTGTAGTTAGTGTCATTTATTAGTGATTGTGAGTGAAAAAAATAAATAAATAAACTTTTAGCACTCGGACTTATGAATATATAAAGTGTCTTCTACCTACAGATGATTTATGCCTAAGTGTGTGTCAAGACCAATACAGGGTAGAGTTCGAGTCCATGATGCAGGAGGAAAACAAACAACAGACGCCTCACTTTCTGGTTTTAAGTTGATGAGTGTGACGAGTGACTCAAGTGTATTGGACGAACGCCATATATGACCTCATGTATTTGTGCAGTAATAATGTTCCTTGGTCGAGAGGGTCTGTTTCACATTGACCATAATAACAACAAAAAGTTTTCATAGTGACATATTGGTCTTTTTTTTTCTTGTAGGGAACATTCATATTTTGTGGATAGAAAAAAAAATAAGTGTTGTTAATCTTTACTGTTGTTATTAGAGTTGTAATGAAAGGAACATACGTGTACTGGATCTCTTGTTACCTATACCATCTCTTACAACATCTAACTATAACCTGGATCACAACCCCAACGTGTGTGATCCTCGTACACTACTACACAACTGTACAACCTCCAGTAATGAGTTATCAAGCCTCCAGGTGTAACTCCAGAACTAAGATGGACACTTGTAATTACCTGACATAACTGTACAGGGAGAAGTGGGTGTTATAACAACATTTTTATTACACCAAAATAAATCACAAGTCTACGAGAACAATTCTTTCCTGTACTTAAAATGTTAAATGAACTTTAGTGTCAGAAAATTGAACTTCTTATTAACGTCAAGCTGTAAAAATATCAGATATTGGCCGAAGTCAGAGATATACAACGGTATGTGAGTCCAAGTCATTGGTGCAGACGAATTAACAGTTGATGACTACTATCATCAAGCCATCATGTACCGGGCAACACAAGATGAAAATTATCAATCAGGGATTCTGGTCCAGCGATTCCTGAGAGCAGAGGAAGAGTCATTTGTTGTGAGTGGCGGCGTACATCTTGGCGTCGTCCCATCGCCCGGTACTTGCAGGTGGTTAGGCGAGTTACTTTCATCCTACAGCTGCCCTGTACGCGAGTCTCAGGGTGCGGCCGACGGAGAGGAGCGCCAACAGTATCTCGCGGAAGATCGCGGTGGACCAACAGCTTAGGTGATTGGTGCAGAAATGCGTATCATAAATTATTTTTGAGAAAAACTATAGACTAGAAATCCAAACCGGTGAATTTAGTCGCTGATTACTGGACTCGAATATGAAGTTCTTGGGCCTTTTTTGCTTCGCCAACACCCCACCGGACGGACATGTCGAAGCTTCACAAAATGTAAATCAGGTAATCATCGGTATTTTCAGGGCTCGCACTAGGTTATGGTGCTGTTATGGTGCTGGTTAAGTTACCGGTATTATGGACAAGACATTCTCAGTATTGTACTTATCAAGATACCAAAGGTGACTGATTTCAGAGTCCCATTTGGTCTGACCCCGCAGAGTATTCCACAAAACCTTCTCGTTTTACCTGAAAAGAAAAATTTCCTCATTTTTTTTTTTAGCAGAAACGTTCCCATATTTAGTCGACGATTCTGGGCATATAATGATCAGCAAATCTCCCTTAGACACACACACACACGATGGACACTCAGGCTATAGATGAACGTTGTCCCTGAACATCAATACGAAGAGGCTGTGAAGGTTATGTATTTCCTGGCTATTCAGTGCTTGAGAGACCTTGGTAGTGGAAGGTCAGTGTCTGGTCCCCGTAAAGTGACCGCCCGTCGCTGGATCTCGTCTCTACTGGCACCACAAGGAACGAAGATTGAAGGGAGTGATAACCTCTGTTGGCAGTAGACTATGTTCACCCACAGAGGAACCTGCCACCCAACAACGCCCTCTGACACCAGCAGATTAAAGTCGAAGGTGGAAATGAGAACAATCTGGTCTGGTATAAAACAACATGAACGCCACATTAGATCCACAGCACCGGACTTAGTATTAGAATAAATCTGTTCCCTGATGCTACGGGAACTGACAGAGACCCCTCGACCTTCATAATGGGCCGCTGATGAGACGGGAGATACACTGACAGAACACACCATGGTCTGAGGCACTCCTGTGTACGTGTCTCTGTGTGTGTTTGGTGATCTTTGGTGTAGACTGATGCTGTCACGCCGCCCACCTACACTAATGCAGTATTGGTGACAGTGTGGTGTTATCTTGGTGAAAATAAAGTGAACTTGAAGCCGTGAAAGAATGGTGATTGTGACGTTACCATATATGTGTGTGTGAATAGTGAATTGAAGATGATGAATTTATATGAATCTAGCGCAGGAATGTGTTGAGTGTAGACCTGTGAGAGGAGACTGAAGACATACGCGACGAAGGTGTAGCTGTGTTAATTGTTCTGCAGCGGCGGTAGTAAAAATAAACTGTGGCATTACCATAATAGAGACAGACACACACACACACACACACACACACACACACACACACACATAATACAAATAGTGGTGTTCTATAAACCTAAGGCGATTCTCACGAAGACTATAGCATCAATTACAAATGACTGTGTAAGAAAAATTAATCACAACTTTTATAACTGCAGTATTGGACTGATGGTTTGTTTGCCTTAAGAACATTATACCACAGGCTGTGTTGTTTGCGGGTGAACGGTGACTGCAGTCTCTTAATGATGCAGCGCCACGATAATGGACCAAATGCATTACCTGCGATAGTTTGGTCACCTTCACAATGTTGTTATGTAATGGTGCAGAGATAATGGTCCGACGGCAACAGTATTACCAAGTCTGTGACACAAGAATAATGGACACACACACACACACACACACACACACACACACACACACACACACACACACACACACACACACACACACACACACACACACTTGAGCATGGCGGAGGTGGAGGAGGAGTAAAGGGGGGGGAGGGGACTTTTTAATCATATATGTATTTTGATGTTTTATTTCAACACCTTATTAGCAGGCTGTAGTGACGAACGACGCCCGAGAACTGTGTATGTCCCCTCTCATCACTTCTTTATCCCACCTTTATCTATCCTCTCATCTATTCCTCACTCTTTATTCATCCCCTCCATACCCTATCTCCCCCTCTATCCCCTCTCTCTCCCTCCCCACCTCCCCCTCCTCCCCCCTCTCTCTCCCTCCCTCTCTCTCTATCCCCCTCTCTCTCTCATCCCCCTCTCTCTCTCATCCCCCTCTCTCTCTCTATCCCCTTCTCTCTCTATCCCCTCTCTCTCTCTCTCTATCCTCTTCCCTCTCTCTCTCTCTCATCCCCCCACCCTCTCTCTCTCTCTCTATCTCTATCCCTCCCTTCCCCTCTCTCACTCTATCACGTGATGAGACATAAACTAGGACAAACACTTAATAACCCGCTGTCTGTGAGTAAAGCTTTTTGTGTTGGTCATTTTCACCATGTATAAGTAGGAAGCTCTTTAGGATGAATAATAATAATAATAATAATTAATAATATTAATAATAATAATAACAATAAAAAATAAATAAACAGTAATTTTGAAATCTTGTAAATACTGTTCTTTGTAATAAGTAAAATGAGGATAACAAATTTGTGTGTTTTATTTACAACCTCGTCTACTAACACGGTGTCTTATCTATCTATCTATCTATCTATCTATCTATCTATTTTTCTATCTATCTACAGAAAAACTACAAAATACAGAAAAATACAAACACACTACAAAACTACAGAAAATCTAGATTGATAGACATTAAATATAGATAAAATACAGAAATACTACAGAAACTTCAGAAAAAACACTACAGTCAAACAAAACTACAGAAAGTCGTAATACATAACTACGGAAAAAAAAAGTTATAATACAAAAAACCTTAAAAACTACAAAAACTAGTCATAATACATTAAATTTTGAAACTACAAACTAGAAAACTAGAGAAAAAATTATACTGAAAGACCCGAATGGAGAAAATACCTACAGGCTACAGATAAATAACTGAAAATACAGGAATAAATTACAAAAAAACTACAAACTACAGAAAATTATAGAAAACTAAAAACACTAAAGTAAAAATACAAAATATAAATAAAGTACACAAAAAATCTATAACCAAAATAAGAAAACAAAACAAAACTGAGAAAAACAACAAACTATAATAATTAAGAAAAACAAAGATAAATAACGCAATAAACACTAAAAGAAAGAAAGAAAGAAAGAACACGATAACAAGTCCAGGAAGGTGATAAAAAGAGTCAGTAAAGAGGAAGAAGAATAAACTAAGATAATTATGAAATACAGGAAAATTGGGTAAAAAAAAAGAACAGAATTACCTGATAATTAAGGAAAGCCGAGATAAATTCTACACTTGTCACGTAATACACGATTATGAAGCAGTGTGTGTGTGTGTGTGTGTGTGTGTGTGTGTGTGTGTGTGTGTGTCATCTCTTTGTCGTGATATATTATGTAGTTCGCCTCAGTCACTCCGCCTAATACTGAGACGCGCTGATCAAAACACGTCTGTCCCGAGGAAGAGGAGGAGGAAGAGGAGGAAGAGAAAGAAGAAGAAGAGGAGGAGGAGGAGGAGGAGGACGAAGAAGAGGAATAGGAAGAACAAGAAGAACAAGAAAAGGAAGAAGAGGTAGGTATAGGAACTTGATCAGCCTTATCAAGAGGGCCCATTGACACCTGTGTAATTCTATGGACCACTTACCTGGACCACCGGAAGATTAGGCCACCAAATATAGTTCACCTTAATATTAACCACCCTAACTCTAACCTAACCTAACTTAACCTAACCTAACTACCCTAACGCTAACCTGACCTAACCTAAAGCTAACCTAACCTAACCAAACCACTTTAACGTAACCTAAACCTCCACTTATAATTAATCTTCATATATAACCTGTGTCACCTCATATTACTTAAAACCCACTTATAAAACTCTTTAACCACAGTAACTTACAAACCCCTTCAATACTCACTACCGCAGGAGCTCAATAGAACACTTAATTACTTACATTCTACTCACTATCCTGGAAGCTAAATGACCCAATCTACTTAATC